CGAAGAAAATTACGCATACAATGTAAAAAAGTATTATGTAACGTCGATAATATCTCGATAAAATATATAAAGAAAAGCAGTTGAATTTTGAAGAAGTAATAAGACAAATTCAAGAAGAATTGAAGGAGTAAAACAAAGGTTTCGAAATTTTTATTAAAATTTCACCCCCCATGCTTATGTAAACAATATATGCAAATAAAATTACATCTTCACAAATCTATTTCTTGCGTAGAGTTGCGATAATAAGACATTATGAAATATAAATTGATCAATAAAATATATTCATAACGTTGCAATAGCTACCGTAAACACTGCAATAGCTGCCGATCAAAATTAAATGAACGATATTTTATAAAAATAATCATTTCTTTATTTGTAACTTGTTTTTAATTGTCCACGGTACTGCTATACATTCTTTGATATATCATCAAAAATATTTGAATATTATTTAATAAACCGACTATCATTATTAAGATTATGATTATGCTTATGATTATTAATAAAAGGAACGAGAGGTCAATGAACGAGCGAAAATGAAATGATGTGACAAAAATAAATTCGAGTAAACGAGTAAATATTTATTGTAAAAACAATAATTAGCAGTGTCACCTTCAATATAAATTTGATATTGTACGTTTCGGCTTCATAGAATCTTCTTCAGCAATTTTTCTTAACAAAAATGATAAAAAACGAAGAGAAATTTTAAATGCATAAAAACTTATGAGTCTGACTGTTAACTTTTAATTTCACTCTTATAATTATTATATTTTTCATATTTTTTAATCTTTTATCTATTTGCGCTTTGTTGCGAGGCAACCTAAATAATGCAACCCGACCTCATAACTGATCACTGATTGACTTCATCTGATTAATCAGAATCCCAAGAATTTTGATTAACCCTAGAAATATGAATTAAATAATTAAAATACGAAACTAAAATAATAAGAAATAATGCGCGCCCACGCTGATTGCAACCGATGTGCAATTCGGCAAGGACGCTGACGCTGACAACACGTGTCGAAACGCTGACGTACCAAACAATATTTCGACACGAGGCTGCGTAACAGCGGACCGATAAAAGAGCGACGAGAGTAATCAGACTCATCTCAGAGGCTCAGACGCATAAGTGACGACGCCTAGACATTAAGGAAATGTAATAGTGTATGGCAGTTGTGGGTGACTCGGAAATAACGAACACCCAAGACCCAAGTCGATTAAATAAAATAGTTTATTCAAATATTGAAGTGCAGTTATGGTCCCCTTTCTCTCTTCCGACACGCACTCCCGAGTTGCGCCCGGAGCGGCACACAGCTTGAATCTAAATGTGTGTTCTATTATTTCACCGAACCAGTTTTTATGTATTTACAATCCCCTTTGTTTTTGTTAAAAAAAAATTCCTGAAGAAGGCTCCGCAAAACTGAAATGAATATCAAATTTATATTGAAAGTAACTCTGCTAATTGTTATTTTTACAATAAATATTGTTTATTCGAATTTGTTTTTATCACGTCACTTCGTTTTCGCTGGCCTCTCTTTCTTCTTTTTATACGATCTTTTTATACGATAATTTATATGATCTGTCTGATATAATTTTGCTCTGATGACTATTATTATTATAACAAAAAGTATTTGAAAAGTATAAAAGAAGTATTAAAAAAGTATTAAAAAGTTCTTATTTCAATAATTATTGTTGCACTGATACTGTACTGACGTCAGTCCTGAACTGCATCATATTCACCCAAATAAGAAGGGAGGGTATGCGTCACGGCGGGGCCCGACCACGAACCAGTCGTGAAAACTCGTAATTATTTTGCGAAAAAATACCACCTCAGCCAGGAATCGAACCTGGATTTCCTGCTTACCGGGCAGGCATCTTATCCTTTCGACTACCAAGGCATGTGATGATATTCATCGCAAATAACGTGTTTAGAATAACACGTCAACAATACAATGATACACACACACACACACACACACATATATATATATATATTACAATATACATATATACATGTATTCTTTCGAATCCCCACGACCGGTACTCCAGAGCGATGTTGGTCTCTCACTCGATGGATGCAGGTCGGACTGCAGCGGCGACACCCTCCAACGCCATTGGCAAATATACAAATAATCCTCCTGGAGTACGACAGGAGAGATTGCATCAAACATGGCTCGAGCCCCCTTTAATGTTGTTCCGCGCAGCCAACACGGTATGAGACATATGAACACATATGGAGCGAGTATAGAGGTATTTCTCGCTTATTTCCCAAAAAATGCGATTTCGAAAAATAACTTTATTATATACCGTTATATTCAACATAAAATACTCTTGAATTTATGTCCTCATAAAATTTAAAATTTTTGAAAATTAGGGGGAGGGAGTGGGGAGGCTCGAAAATGTAACATTTTTGAAAAATTCAAATACATCGTTGTAAAGTGCATTTGCAACCGTAAAACTTTTGTTTAAAACTTTTTTGATAGCTTTAACGATTTGGACGATATTTACTCAGGAAGAAAAAACCGATTTTTTTCAAGGGGTGGTTTCACCTCCTTAACGTTCGAGAACGCAGATAAAAAAAATATGTGTCTCTTATTTTTGTCCATATTTTGGGATTCATAATATACTCGAAGCTCATTAAAATCGGGAAGGACACTTTCGATACTTCCTTTGTAAGTAAGTTCTAAAAAATAACTCGTTATCATTATCGTTATTTAAAAAAAAATGATTCGTTTTTTTTTGTAATAAAAAAGAATTGATGTTACATTTTCAACACTAAAACGAGATTACAATGAATAAAAAATTAATTTTTTTTATATTTTTGTTAAACTATAAATATAAAAACAATGAAACTTTTTATCTTAAATTCACAAACTACAAAAAAATTGAGATTTTAAAATATTCAAAATGCGAATAAAACAGATTGTGACTTTTATTAAATTCATAAATACATTTTTTTTTTCTATTCTCAATTTTTTATTAAAAAATTGTTAAAAGTTAAAAATTAAAAGTTAAAAATTAAATTGTTAAAAATTTTTTAACAAAAATTATTAAAAGATAATCAAAAAGAGAATGCTAATCAATGTCGACATATTGAAATAAAAACGAAGAGATTACTTGACCGATTATATAAGATAAAAAGAATCAGAGAGGAAGGATCATGATGATAAACGAGTTCAGTCCATCAGGTGTAGCCCATCATGCTTGTTTAAGTTTAAGTCTGAAATAAATAAAAAAGCACAAGTATATAATACGAAATAAAAGTTAATTAAAAGAAAAGAAAGCGTTATGTAAATATTTTTTCTGTTCGTGTGATACCCTCAACGGATTGACGAATCCATTATATCAACATTTTCAGCATTTCCAACAATAACTTTATAACAATTTTTCATAGAGAATTGTGTTAACTAACATAAATATAGGATTTTATTAAGAAAATATATATAAGTATTACATCCAGTTTTCTTCAAATTCTATATATAGCGGTATTCTATATATTATATAAAAAAATCCTAATAAATAGGAAAAAACGGTCCAAATAGCGTTTTATCGCTATTTCTGATAAATTTAGAAAAAATAACTCGTAACACTATGTATTCCATCCTGTATATGTGAGCACATGTGCGCGCGTGCGTGTATGTATGTGTATGAGTAAAATTATAATAGAAATTTTTTTTAAATAAAAAACTCAATTATTTCATTAAAAAATTAAAAATTCTTTCTTTGTTGACAATACTCAATTTTGGTTGCAGTTTCCATAATGGACCTATACGGCTCAGCACTGCCATGCGGCAAAGTATGGTGAAAGATCCCGTAGCTCCTGTATTATGGGAACCTCATTTAGAAGCTCTGGACCGACGGATAAGCATTGTCTTACAAGCCGTTCGGGATTGTGTTGCTCGCGAAAATTCTTCACAACAAGTCGTCCATAGCGATAAAATTGATTCAAAGTTATAATCTTTAATTGTAATTAATTAAAATAATTAATTAAGATGTGTAAAAAGATGTAAAAAAATCTCCTTCTTTATCTTCTCTTGCCCTCTTTTTCTTTTATATACACTTCTCTCTTTTAGATATTTCTATGTTAAGAAAAAAAGAACGTTATTTTATAAAAATTTTTCTTTATATTAAAACATGATTTTATTTTAACAATAATATTAATATTTTTTTTTATTAACCATTATTATATTAATTTTTGTACATCTATGTTCATGAAACTGATCAAATGTTTATTTTCATTATTTATCTTCTTTAGTTCAAATGTAATAACTTGCAAATTTGCAAAAACATGCTTTGAGAATTATCTACGGTGATACTAGACTATGACCGTGAATGACGCACCGAATAGAGTTATGTCGCGATTAATTTATTCCTATATCACAAATATCACATATTATGTGATGCACATAATGGTCCAAAATGAGAGCGATCTAGCGAGAACGCGCAATGGAGAAGACGGCCGAGAGCGCGCCAATTTCGGACGATGCATTATTCATGACCGTCTGTGAGGTGCCGCCCTCTAAGAGAGAAACGCCGGCGACTTTTAATATAACATAATATAGGCTCATTCTCGAACATGCTTTCTTTTTATTTCAAAATATGCATTAATAAAATGCAAAAGAAATGAAATGTTTAATAAACAAAAGTTAGAAAAGAAATTGATGTCTGCATTTGATAAAAAAATATGACATTAATGTGAAAAGTTGAAATATAAAATTATATTAATATATAATATATTTTTTTCTAATGTTAATGATAGACTAATTCTTTTCAAAGTATACTTTCAAAAAAAATTTTACATTATATTGAACTAATTTTGTTTCACTTTACAATCATTTTTTCCCACAGAATATCTAAATTAAGTTCATTAAACATCAATTAATAATAACTTTTTTTAATTGATTCAAAAATTTTTAATGGAATTTAACTCAAATGGTTGAGATAAGCAAATATTTCAATGTTTTATTATTCCAGTCTTTAGATATTTTATTAATACGTGACATGTATATATTTAAGATAGTTATTGTTATTAATACTGAAAGAAAATATTTTAATTATGTTTAAATTTTTCAACTTTTAATTCGAAATTTAAAATATTTACATATTTTTGCAATCATCTTTTATATTTAGTTTATGGATAAAAATACAATATGTTATGCATTTCCATGTAATGATACTATCACTGCCAAAGGAGGATATTACGAAAAAGCCTATTTTTGATGTGATTGAGAAGAATAAAATAGATATCATTTTTTATTTAAGGTGAGGAATTCGATGGTGCTAGTTAAAATTACATAATGAGAACGTACAAAATTGTATTTAATTCGAAAAAATGTGTAGTGTCGCAATTATTAGAGAGATAGTTCATTACACTACATGTAATGATAAACAGTGCGATACATCAAGTTTAACATAAAGAATATTTTATGAAAATGCTATATTTGAAAATAATAGTGGAAATAGTGAAAATATTAAGCATAATGTAATGATTTTGTGCGCTAGTTCTCGATTCACCATATTCCTCATCTCAAAATCTATAAATGTTTATTTTATTTTTCCCAAGCAAAACGGATCTTTTTGTAATGTTCTTTTTTCATTGAACAAACATAATTATTTGTTCTTTCCACAATCATTTCTTTCGGTCTGATCAAAAATAATTTATTTTACATCAGGCCATATAATATTATCCAATCTTATATCATAAACATGGCATATTATTTTGCAAATTTCAAATACAATTTCATATTTCTTGTTATAAGCAGTAATTTTTAATTTTAATTTTTGTTTAATATGTTCATAATATGAAGTTTTTCTTTATATTAATATTATTAATTTCTTGTAATTTGTTTTTCAATAGAATGTACAATCTACGTTATTCATATTGAATGAAATGTTTTAAAATTTTAAAAAGTTTTACTTTTTGGCTTTTTACAATATTTCCAGCATATTTTTTTGTCATATTTCATTTAATACTTTATGCAATATTTACTTACAAGGAAAATATCAGGTGACGGATCGAAGTATTTCGATGCGTTTTATACAGACTGTTCTTGGGTGAAAAAAAACCTATACGTGCCCAACCGTTTCAGTCAATAGCCCAATAATTTCAAAGAAATCGATTTTTAAGAAGTGAGTCGGCCGATATACAGACGCTTTATATTAAATCGTTGCTATTAACAACAGCAGCGGTAGTACAGTTGGTAAGACGTTGTCTTTGTATGAAGTAGATCGCATATTCGAATCCCGTTGCGTACACTTTTTTCATTAAAAGTTTGTTCTTATCTATAATTATTTATATTACTATAGATGTACACGAAAAAGATTATTTATTTAATTATATCGGTTTTTTATAAATATACTTAAATAAAATTTTTAAGTAATTATCTTCACTTAAATAAAATTTAAGTAATTATAGTAATTTAAAAAATCTGAATAAAGAAATATTAAATGTTATCTTTATAAGTTTCATTTTAATTTAATGTTATTAATTTTAATTACGTTCTATTTGTAATGAAATTTCATAAATTTACAAATTAATAAATAATTAAATACTTACGTATGGAACAATTACTATTACCATCATTGTCATCATCGTTATTCATATGGACACATAAATAAAAATGTAATAAAAATTCTTATAATTTCTGATGAAATTAATGGTGAAATTAGGAATAAATAAGCCGCATACGTGTAACTAAAAATCACTGTTTTGTTTAACAGTCCATTCAATCGCCGCGCGCCAAATTATAAAAAGAGATCTTAAAACCGTAGAGATCTCAAAGAAATAATAAAAAAAGCCCGCGCAAAACAATCGGCGTTCATTGTCAGTCATTTAAGCATTCGCACTATATCGATCAAACATTGTAATTTCTTTGACATTTTCTTTGTCATTAAATATTGATATTATTAAATATTAATTATATGTATTTTAATATATCGATATAATAAATAAATCTTTTTCATGTACATCTACAATAATATAATGTAAATAATTACAGAGAAGAATAAACTTTTAATAAAAGAAGTGTATGCGACGGAATTCAAATACGCGATCTATTTCGTACAAAACCAACGTGTTACCAACTATATCGCTGCTATTGCTTAATAGCGACGATCAAACACATAAAGCGTCCCGTTCGTATATCAGCCGATTAGATTCATTTTCTAAAAATCTTCTAATAAACTTCTAAAAATCGATTTTTTCGAAACTGTAGGCCATTGACTGAAACGAATGGACACGTATGGTTTTTTTTGCCTAAGAACAGCTTGTATAAAGCGCATCGAAATTCCCCGATGCGTTATCTGGTGTTCCCTTTGTTAGTTACAAAATTCTATAAGAAATATTTCCATAAAATCTTTTAGTAATTTCTTTTATTGTTCCTTGGAACCGATTTTGCAGTAAATTAATGCAAAATATTATGTAAATGAAATAATAAATAATTCCTATTTAGCATTAAATTATTGAATAGGTTTATATCCTATTTAACATTAAATATTGAATAGGTTTATATCTATTGTAAATGAATCAAGTTACAGCAAAGCAAGTGTTGATAATATAGAAACTGAAAGATACAAAAATTATATAATGTTATAAAAATTTGATCAGTTTCGTGAAGTACTGAATATCGATTAAGTTATATAGATATTTGTAAATCGATTAAATTAAATCGATTAGACAAAATAATTGTATAAATAGATTATCGTCGAAATTATTTTTCACTCATTACTCATTACTCATAATAATTATTTTTGTTTTAATTATCTCTTCATTCTTTCATTCTTTATTAAATTATAGAAAATTATACCTTCTAATTTAATTCATTATTAAAAAAATCTTATATTTCTAAATAAAATTGAGATTTATTTAATTTTAATTCAGAAATTATAGATTCAGTTATACTTTTTGTTGATATGTTTATATTTTTAATATTTACAAAAAAATTTATATGTTTCGTAGTTGTAACGAATTAATTACTACAGAGTCATACTTATAATGAATTAATATATGCAAAATAGTTATTAAGATTAAGTTATCATTCAAAAGATAATAAATTAATTTTATTATAGAATATTATTTTATGAATTCGTAATTATTAATTTTTATAAAATTTATTCAGTGCAAAACATCAGAAATAATAAAAAAATATGGTCATACATTTATAATTAATTGAATAATTGTTAAAAAAAAGCAAGTTTTCTTTATATTTTAATGTATTGTGTTAATGTACTATGTAATTATAATTTATTTGATGTTACATTATAATTTGATTTTTAACACACACTCAACACACGCGCGCGCGCGCGCGCATACACACACACACACATTTAATGCGACTTTGAGAGAATCAAAAAGCATATAAATATTACTAAAAAGCGCATGTAAATATTAACGCGTTAAATACAGAATCTAATTTGTTGCTTGTTTCTTTGTCTATGTAAAGTGTTCGGTAATAACTGTATCACTTCTCATGAGGTAGAATTGATT